TCTCTCAAATAGTTTTGGTCACTCTGATAAGCAGGTATTTCTAAATACATTCTGGAACTGTAAATATGTCTTCTACTTTCCAGGACATTTTAAAACAACATTCTTTGATTCATTTTATCAAATTAGTCTTGATTATGAAAGTCCTTTTTTTAAATTTGGCTGGAAGTCGCTATGAGAAAATTTATGGCCATGTAATATCAAGTTTGTTAAAGAAATCTGATGCTTTGGTAATCTTGAACCCACAGTGCAGAGCACATTATTAACATCAACCTTGTAACAAAAATGGATAAAATATAGCCTGCACCAGAGATCAATTTCTTGGCATAAGATGAATTTTTCTTTAAATCTTTGCTTTCTAAAAGAAAAGTATTAGGAAGCCCAAGTACTAATACTAATATTACATCCTGATTCCTGATCTAGGCATATGCCAATATCTCTTCAGAATTCCGTATCTATGATTAACATTATGTATGGTAGAATGCTCACTCTTCAAATGAACAACCGTAGCAATCACTATGCTGCAAAAAAGGAGAGGAAGAACTGATTTTTTAAAACACTTTTAAAGTTAGTTACTATAGAATTTTAAATTACTTCACAGAATTTGCTACATATTACTCTAGAGGCTGTAAGTTTCTTAGGTCTCGTCCAGAAATTAGACCTAATGTATAGCATAAATTGAAATTATAAATTTATTTGAAAATTTTACTGTTAACATATTCATTACACTGTGTTTTGTTAATGCAGGGTATTTGGGGTAATATTTGGCCTGCTTGGTACAAATGGTTGATTATGATGGGTCCTGATAAGAATTACTGTGGTTATAGATTTAGGTAAAGTTATTGTCCCAAGTTGTTTATAAAATCTCGAGGCCTCACTGAGCAGCCAGAGGTAGTAATGAGGCTTGGTGACTGACAGGAGAACCATTCTTGCTATGACACTCAGCTTCCATTATGAGAAGTTCTACTTGGAACCAACTTGTTCATTAACATCTATTTTTCATTTCTTCATTTATTCAAATGTATTAAGCATTGACCATTTATCGGGAATTATGTGCTATAACAGTCCCAAATCCCCTCTTCCCAATAGCTTCAATATTTCTCAGGTCTGGAACAAGAGTGACCACATACTTTTTATTGTC